TGTGATAACACTATTTTTGATTGGCTACATTTATCAAGATAATACACAATCTTTATTATATTTTTTGACAATCTTTAAAAAAAAAATTAAAAATACAATTTTTTATTATTATTTTTTAGTAAGGATAAAATAGTATTTTTTAGGTGCGGTAAATAGTAAAAATGAGTGCAGTAATTATTAACACTCATTTGTTTTTGGATAAATCACCCCTAAAAGAAAACAGTTGATTTGTTAATTTATTTTCAATTGACTGTATAGAGGCGTGAGTTGACTTATCAATATAGCCGGCTGTTCTTCTCCCCAAAAAAGGAAAGACGAACAAAAACCCAAACTACTTTGTCCACGTGTCAAGACGCCCATTCTGTTATTGTGAGGTTTGACTCACCCCCTCAAATCTCATCAATTTGCCCTGCATTTTCCCATTTGTCTATAAAAGAACATCTCCTCTTAATTTCATTTCCACCATATCCATTCTACTTCTATTAATTACAATATTATTCACAACTCTTGGCAAAATATTTAGCACGTCGATATGGCCGGAGGTGGATTTGCCGTCTCGGGCGGCACCGAATTCGAAGCTAAAATTACGCCAATAGTTATCATTTCTTGTATTATGGCGGCCACCGGAGGTTTAATGTTCGGCTATGATGTCGGTGTTTCAGGTCAGATTTCTTTCCTTTTTTTTTTATTTTGAATTTTTTTAGTGAATGACTAAAAGTAAAAACTTCATCATTAGGATCTTTTGATTTATTTTTAATTTTCTTAAATTTTTTTTAATGGATAATGTTCTGTATCAAAACCGTAGAATATGGATTTTCAGACCATGACTTTTTGCAAGAATAGTTCCGTCTCCCGCAATTGTTATCCAATTCATAATTATTTAGATTATATAATTGAAAAATTATTATACCAAAATAGTAGTACTTATTCCTTTCCCAGATCACAAAACTTAAAATATTTTAAATGATTAAGTAAAAAAGTAATATCCCAAAATAGTATTCCTTTTCCAGATCATAAAGCTCATAATATTTTAAATGATTAATTAAAAAAGTAACTTATAATTATTACAGGTGGCGTCACGTCAATGGGCCCTTTCCTGAAGAAATTTTTCCCAATAGTGTATGAGAAAACACAAAATGCACACCTAGACAGCAATTACTGCAGATATGACAATCAAGGGCTGCAATTATTCACGTCGTCGCTTTATCTAGCCGGTTTAACGGCCACATTTTTCGCTTCTTACACGACCAGAAGGCTGGGCCGGCGGTTAACTATGTTGATTGCCGGTTTATTCTTCATAGTTGGTGTTGTGCTTAATGCGGCTGCCCAGGATTTAGCCATGCTCATTATCGGCCGGATTTTATTAGGCTGTGGAGTAGGTTTTGCTAATCAGGTACGATGATTTATATATAGNTGCTTCTTAAGTATTAAAAAAAAAAAAGAATATCATCCTTTATAAATAATTTGTGTGTGGTTAATAACTTAAATTGTAGGCTCTTAAAAGTTTTATATATTAGTAAAGCATTTTATACATTTCAATTTATTTTTTCATACGTTGTAATTTATTTTTTAACATTAATTAGGGAGAAATATTTTTGAAAAAATGCCTCGAAAAAAACGTGCAAGTTAAAATATTTTAAATGAGATACTTTAATTCTAAATTTACTTGAGGCGAATTCTAATATTGTTGGGCTTGGGCCAAAACAAAGTGCGATGATAAATTCAACTATGTTATTATAGGGCGAAATTGAGCTATGAAAACTCATAAGTATATTATAATTGTGAGTTTTTGTATTTTTAATTTTTTATGATAGTATAATATTTTTTTCTAATAACAATTATACCCCCACTTATTCTATTAGCGAGATTCACCCTTGCGATGATTTATTGTCTGATTTGTATTAAATCTTATGAAATATGATAAGCTTTAACTGTTTTTTGGCACAATATGTGGTTGTTGTGTGGAGAAAATAACATTTAACTACTTTCCGAGCTACTGTACGTATAAATCTTGACGTGAAATCAAGTTTGATTTGAATAAATGGAGTAATTGTATAAAAAGATAGATATTTTGTATGGGGAAATTCCATTAGAAGGCTCAACTTTTTGATATTGTATTAATTTAAGGCTTGAATTTTATTCTTTTTCAATAGAAGACCTATATTTTAGGATATTCTCAATTTAAGGCTCACTTTTTAATTAACTTTCCATTGTAAGGCCCAATTAACTTTATATTTTGATATAAATATGTGAACCAATTAACTTTATATTTTGATATAAATATGTGAACCAATTAACTTTATTTTATAATATAGTAATATGAACAAAAATAATTTTTTATTTAGTTTATATTTTACATACTTATAATAAATATCTTTAGTAATATTTACTTAATAATATAGCGAAACTATATAAATTATATTTATGCAAAAGTTTAATCATGAATAAGTTAAAAAAATGATAAGTGAATTAAAAAAATATGTAATGGAAATATTAGTTTTATTAATAATATAAATATTTAATAAAACTAAAATAATATATAAATGCAATCTACAAAAATATATCATTTTCAACAAGCAATGACATTGTATCAACTTTTGCTTCCAAAAAGAAAAGTTAAAATTAATCTTTATTAATATAATTTTACTAAAGATATTTATTATTTGTTATTATAAGTATGCAAAATATAAATTACAAAATAACAATAATATTAATAATTTTATTCACATAATAGTTGTTTTACATATTTATAAGAAAGGTAAAATTAGTTGGACGTTATAATGGAAAACTAACTAAAATGTAAGACTTAAAGTGAGAATAACTTAAAATATAAGTCTTCTATTAAGAAAGTACAAAATTCAGGTCTTAAATTAATACAATTACTAAAAATTAGTCTTCCAATAAAATTTCTCCTATTTTGTCTAGTTAAAATTGACAAGAATGTTAAACGAGGCACATGCACAGCATTTTAAATTTGTAGTGGGAGAGCTTGATATGGTGGTGAAGTGGTGATAAGTATCTATCGAAACAAGATGCTATTCACACTTCAGCATCACTTTTAGGTTGGGCCCAGGTTAGGTTAATTTAAATAAATAAATGTGACCTTATATAATTTTAATTCGCCGGCGTGTCAAAAGGAAATTATAGGTGGTCCCATTTAAAGTATGAAGTTTGAACTTTCTGTATGCCAGCTGATGTAATGCAAATATAGTCCAAATTTTAGTGTTGACAAACTAGGCAATAATTATGATTTATAAATTGTATATTTACAATATATTATTTATATAATATACAGAGAACATGTATTAAAGTAGGAAATAGGATTGTGGAAGAATCTGAATGGAGATATTTTTGCCTAGACTTTATAATTGAGCCTACCCCTGTGGTCCTCTTATTTTTGCCCCTCATGTTTGAATACCAAAAAGCATTTTATTTTGTTTTATTTTATTTTGTTCTTTAAAGATTTTAAAAAGTAATAATTGATAGAAAAATGATATTGTTTGAAGCTGACAATAAAAGTTATCCTACCTAGAGAAACTTTTATAGCTCAAGTATTTTTTCGCAATTCAAATAATTTTGGCCGTTGTTTAAGTTGACCATATATTGATGAGATCTCTAGTGCTATCCAACTATTACATAATAATATTAAAATATCCAGTATTTTAAATAGCATACAGTAAATTATACTGATCTAGCTATCAGTAGATAGTATCATTTCATATCAATAATAATATCAGTGGTATTACGAGTTAGAAAAAATAATGATATATATAATTTATACATAAAAAAATATATCACCATATATATAAAAATAAAAACAAAAGTACAATATTCATATATTTTAACTTCTCTACTAGATAAAAATAAAGCATCCCAACTACCAAATTAAATATTAAGTTAATAATTAGTTAGTTAGCTGAGTTTTCNATTTGTATTCCCTTAAAAAGAACAAAATTATCCTATAGATTAAGACCAGGCAAACGTTTTCTATTTTTCTTTCCTCACTGCTTTTCTTTCTTCTTGGACTACTACTATACTTTTCCTTTTAGAATTTCTCTATTCCCATATATGTAATAAGCGTTCTCACAATTTTATTTTTATTTTTTTATAATCGGTAGGCTGTTCCACTATTCCTATCAGAAATCGCGCCCACGAGAATACGTGGGGGTCTCAACATTTTGTTCCAACTCAATGTCACAATTGGGATTCTCTTTGCCAACCTTGTCAATTATGGCACTGCTAAGTAAGCTTTTTTCCCACATAATATTTCATTCAAATTTCTTGCTACTACATGAATTCAAAATAAGAACTTTAATTATATCCACATAAACTTACATACACTAATTTTCCATGTATATATAGAATCAAAGGAGGATGGGGTTGGAGGGTCTCACTTGGCCTTGCCGGCATACCCGCTGGCCTCCTTACATTAGGCGCCCTTCTCGTAGTCGACACCCCTAACAGCCTCATCGAACGAGGCCATTTAGACGAGGGAAAAGCCGTGCTCAAAAGAATCCGAGGCACACCAAATGTCGAGCCCGAGTTCCAAGAGCTCGTCGAGGCTAGCCGCGTGGCTAAGCTCGTGAAGCATCCTTTTCGTAATCTCCTCATGAGAAGAAATCGCCCACAACTCATCATCGCCCTTGCTTTACAGGTATACATCCACCAATGTAATTAATTTTTTCGACTCATCATAAGAAAAAAAATTGGAAATTTAGTCTGTAAGTGACACTTAATTGAGAAATAGTCTGGTGACCTGCAAAAAAAAACTGACTTTTGGTCCTTCTACCAGTAAAAGTCGGTCCCTGTTTGGGGTGTGCGTATTTCGACTGAAACCAACCAAAACCGAAAATTTCAGCCGGTTAATGTTCGGTTTAAATTGATAATTCGGTAGGTTTCGGTTATTGGCATAGTATGGTTCGGTTATTTTGATTTTTCTAATTCGATTCGGTCGGTCGACCGAACTGACCGATGCACACTCCTAGTCCCTGTAACCGGTTGCTGACGTGGATATTATTTTTCAATTTTTTCTTCGTACACGTGGCAGCCGACTAACATATCCAACTGAGAAGTCGGTCCACTTGACCATTTTTTGCGTGAAAGGACCAAAAATCTTTTTTTTTTTGGCAGTTATAGAGTGTTTTATAAAATCAACACAACCACTAGACTATTTCTCAATTTGGTGTCAGTTATAGGACTAAATCTTCAAATTTTCCACTCATCATAAGTGTTTTTGTTTCTCTTTGTTGTCATTTTCAAAAAAGTTTTTGTTTGGGTGTGCAGATTTTCCAGCAGTTCACGGGAATAAACGCGATAATGTTCTACACGCCGGTACTCCTCAACACGGTGGGGTTCGGGAACGACGCCGCCCTGTACTCGGCAGTCATCACAGGTGCCGTGAACGTGATCTCGACGATCGTGTCGATCTACTCGGTGGATAAAGTGGGGCGGCGAGTCCTCCTTCTGGAAGCCGGCGTGCAGATGTTCATCTCCCAAGTCGTGATCGCGATAATCCTCGGCATCAAAGTCACCGACACCTCCGAGAATCTGAGCCACGGCTACGCCATTTTTGTAGTTGTCCTCATCTGCACGTTCGTCTCGGCGTTCGCGTGGTCGTGGGGCCCACTCGGGTGGCTCATCCCGAGCGAGACTTTCCCACTCGAGACGCGGTCCGCAGGGCAGAGCATGACCGTGTGCGTGAATTTGGTCTTCACGTTTGTGATTGCGCAGGCGTTCTTGTCGATGTTGTGCCACTTCAAGTATGGGATTTTCCTCTTCTTTTCTGGGTGGGTTTTCGTGATGTCCGTGTTCGTGTTTTTTCTGGTGCCGGAGACGAAGAATGTGCCGATAGAGGAGATGACGGAGAGGGTGTGGAAGCAGCATTGGTTGTGGAAAAGGTTTATGGATGGTGGGGATGAATATGTTGCTAATGGTAATACTAAGGGTTGATCCTAATACTCAGTTGTCAAGGGAAGGTTTTTGTCTTTGTTTCTTTTGCATGAATAAACAAGAGTCTATGTAGAAAAGGTAAGGGAAAAGGGGGTGGGGTTTGATTTTGCTACATTTTATTAGCCTATTATATATCATGTGTACTAAATATTATATGATATGGTTATTGGCAAATGGTTAAATGGACAAGATGATTTTGCCACTGCATGAAATAATTAATTTGGTTCATTTTTCATTGTAATGTATCAATTATTAGTTGAATGAATGAAGTCAAGATTTTATTCCAATGAAATTATGAGTAATGTTTAGTATTTAGTATTGACAGCAACAATGTGCTAAACCCATCAAAAAAAGATATTGACAAATTATGACTATTATATCTATTACTATATAATACAGTTAAGAAAAAATCATTAAAAAAAGCGAAAGTGGAAAGTCATCTTCCCGCTATTTTTATCGATTTTTACCATTTTCGACAAATTTTTTTGAATTTTTTTTATATGTCCCGCCCATTCGATTTGGTAACCAATCAAATTTCACTTATGCAGCCTACATATTTGGAATGTAATTTAAATATAAATTGAAGTCGCCTAAAAAAAAGTAATTAGTTGATTCCTCTATAATACAATCTTATATCATATCAGAATATGGTTATTTTCAGATTTCAATTTTCATTTTTTTTACATAAAATTCAATCAGCCTAATAAAAATGTTAAAAAATGATAATAGATCTGTCGACTTTTGTAATGGATCTTCGAAAATCAATAAAAGTTCACAACATTATATCACAAAAAATACTTGCAGTACGAAAATATTTCAAAAAAGACAACTCATGTGTTCTGATAAAAAATGAAGATCTATAACCAGATTTGAGGTGTTTTGTGTTTAAAACTTCGAAAACTTAATAAAAAAAATCAGAATATAAAACACAAAAACAAATTAAAATACATACTTTCTGAAAGCGTGAGGGATATGTATATAATTAACATAATATCGTAAAGAATTAATCATTTATCTAATTGAATTTATCTCTGTAACAAACTAGCCAACTTTTTTGAAATTAAAATGGTATGATTATTCTTATGGACATACTTATCAATATATTAAACATTTAGAATTTTTTTTAAGAACATGAGTTATCCCTCCTTTTACTTTATTTGAAATTCTGAGTTATACTTTTAAATATATTATTATTTATTTTTTTTACATGTAAATATTTATTACTTATAATCTAAGTGATAAATATTACTGATTTATCTCTTTAATAAATATTTATTATTTATTTTTTTCCTTGCGTAATATAATTTAAATTTAGTTATTAGATTTTTAAATTCAAACATTTAAAGGAAAAGACCACTGACAGATTTTTTGAGTACATTTCAATTTATCTTAACTTCCATATAATCACATTCCTAACAAATTAATTAATACAATTACAATTATCTAACTGGAATTTTTAAAATATAATTAATATAATATTTTAACTAATTAATCTTTTGTCTAACCGATTTTATCTTATTAACAAACTTGCAAAAATTTTTGAAATTAAAATAGTAAGATTATTCTTACGGGTATACTTACCAGAATATTAAACACTTTAAAAACTTTTTAAAAACAAATTTGAATTATTCAAAATTAAATTTTTAAACATATTCATATATATTATTATTTAATTTTTCCTCATGTGATAGAATGTAAATTTGGTTATTAGATTTTTAAATGCAAACATTGAAAGGAAAAGACCACGAACAGATTTTTTTGTTACATTTCATTTTATCTTAACTTCCATATAATGACAATCCTAACAAACTAATTAGTATAATATTTTTTACCCACATTTATATAATCGTATTTCTTAAAATATAATTAATATAATATTTTAACTATTTAATCATTTGTAACACTTGATTTAACTCATTAACAAACTTGCCAATTTTTTTTGAAACAAAAAAAAAATTGGATGATTTTTATTTGTAAAATAATAAAAAATAGCTTTACTTTAAAGTTTGGATTATTTCCATTATTTTTTATTTGTTAACAATCATATATTGGATAATTTATTTTTTAAAAAAGTAAATAAAAAATCGTAAGGTTTAATAATATTCCTTAAATAAAAAATGTTATATAAAGAGAAGTGTTTAATAATATATGTTTTTCATTGTTTATATTTATTTTATTTTCATAATAGACAAGATGTAAAAAATATAAATAATTATATTTAAAATAAAGTCTAAAAAAAAGGTTTAAAATATGAGCTCCTCCGTGCATCGCACGGGATATACACTTGTATCATGTGTACGGACAATTAGATGATATGGTTATTGGCAAATGGTTAAATCAACAAGTTGATTTTGCCACTGGATGAAGTAATTAACTAGTATGTATCCACTAGTATGTATCCTGTGCGTTGCATGGAAAGACTTGTTACTTTCAAAGGTTTTTATAAATTTTATTTTAAATATAAGTTAATATTATACATCTCATTCTTTTAATTATAATTATTTATATTTAAAAAATCTCATTATTGATTTTTTTAATATGTATTTTTTCATAATTAATTATCATGTAAATAAAGCAACTTGCACATATTACAGTACGTGAATGTTTATACTATAGTATTTTGTATGGTAGAGGATTTTTATTTATTTATTTATTTGTTATTTTTGGTAAATAAATTGAAACGCGAGCTACTTGAACTAGGGGCAGATTTAGAAAAAACTTTTGGAGGGGACTAGAGTTGTTATTCGAATGAAAATGTCAGGGAACACAACTCGGTTTGACTTGTAATAACTCGAGCTAAGATTATCCTTATAATTAAATGAACTAATCTCAAACACTTAATCGAATTTGTGTATTAACTGAGTTGGGTCTCACTTCTTTTTCAAATGAGTCAAGCCGACTGATTCATTTATCAATGAAACACGAGCTTGAATATGAAATATTATTGTTTTTACTCCACTTGAATAACACCTTTAGAGAGGATATATAATTTTTTATAACACACACACATATACGGCAAACAATTTCTTATATATTAAACAGATAAAATAAATAATAAAAATGCTTTACAAAATATATAACTTATGAATTTTGGTATTTCAAAATTTTGCTTGAGATTATTTTAGATCACAAGAGTCATTGACAATTGATTTTTTGTTCTTATTTAAGGGGACTCAATATCAATTAATTTAGTGTTAATAGTTCTTGCGATTACTTTTCGATCCCATGAAATTGTATATCTTGCATGCTTTGCTATTTCAAATTTTTTTTATTTTGAGATATTACATGTATCATACATTCAATTTAATTGATTCGTATATTACAAAGAAAAAAACACCAACTATTACAGATGAAGAGTGAAAAACTAGTTACAAATATATAATGTACTAAAAAATGATTAAATAGATAAAGCAATATAATTATTAGTAATATTATGGAGTGTAGATATAAATTGAATATGCTTATACTATGTATTTATGTAGTAAAGGGTAAAAATGTGATAAAATACATATAATGTGTATATATATACATAGTAAAAACTTAAACGTTTGGGACGGACAATAGCCCCCTATAGTATATGTGGATCCGTTCTTGACTTGAACATATTAAAGCAAACATATATTTAATATTAAACCAAGTGGAATGTCCGCATTTCACGACTTATTCATAGGAAGTTTCAATTATCTCTTAGATTTTTATAATTTAATAATAGTTTAAATGGATAAGATTTATGGAAAATTGTAACTTTATTTGATGGGAGATATAGGTGTAAAGGATGGGAGATCGGTCATAGATTGAGGGAAAAAATTTCTATTTTATTGTTAAAGATATCAATCATTTTGTTTTGTACTTTATCATAGTGAACAACCAGGTAGGAAAAAATAGGTAAAACCTTTGACTATGCAGATTGATTAACTCCCCTCAATAAACAAAAGTATGACAAAAATAGTGTTGAAATGGAAAAAAATACGAAAACCTAGGGAAGTTAAAAATAAAAGATAGAAAAAATCTTTAAGTATCCTTTCATAATGATTGGTTAGATAATTATGGACACAATAGATTTATAAACTTAAAATAGATTTCCACCAAATTTTACACATTGACTTTTTTAAAATTCAAAAAATGTGCCTAAGAGCGGAATAAAACTAAAATTTCAAAAATATTTCCCAATAATAGTAAAATATGTGGAGGAATAATAAATAAATAAAAAGACGAGAATTTTAATATGTTCAAACTACCTAAAACAAAGGTAAACAAAGGAAAAATTCGTAGAAATGGTTCAGTGATTCGACCACAGATGCAAAGATAATTCTCCTACTCTCATTTAAACTGGTTATGGTTATTGGTACGACCTAATAACCTGTCATTTCTTACTTGTTCGATACTCAGGATACGATCTCTAATTATTTCTCCAATAAACAGACAATCCTAGATATGATCATAGAATTTAATCTATCAACTGCATTAAAACTCAGAAGGACAAAAAATTCTAGCAAAAAAACTCACATGTAGAATCATTTAGACTAAATCATATATCTTGCTAAACATAAAATCAAAAACTCTTAGTAATCAACTATGTTCTTTGCCACCAACATTAGAACAATCAAACAATTACGGCTTTAATGTTCTAAATGGCTATATGCTATTCCGATAATTGAACAAAGAGCTCTTTTTGCGTCAATCAACCAAAATAACAATTGATATGAACACAAGATACATACAAATAAAAGAGAATAGGGAATAAAAAATTCAATTAGATCTCACAAATCATGAAGAATCAAATCAAGAATAATTCTTTGCCCCACTTTTCCTCTGTACCCCAAAATCCGCCGCCTCCCTCTTTTCATTGGCTGACCGCGAGCCTTCCTTAGCGGCTAGTCGGGCCTTGCCGGCGGTCGTCCCTCGGCCGCACGACCGTGGCCCCGATGGTGCGCTTTCCTGGTCTGGCCGAGTTGGGTGTTGTGGCCAACCATCCGCGGCCGGGTTTCTCCGAAAATTTGGTCCCGGTTTGTGGTTAGAGTTCGTTGCTGTCCTTGATGTTCGGTGGTTCCGGGTGGGTGTGACAGCGGGGGTTGGGTGTGGCTCGGGCTGCCTGCGGTGGCCGAGGCTGAGGCACCCTTCTTGCTTCCTATTCCTCTGTTTCCCTAGTGTGGGGTTCGTTAGGAGGTCTGTGTCGTCGAACTCGGACAGTGGTGTTGGATGGGTTCGGGGCATTGGTTGTGTGGGAGGTGAGGTTGGGTTTCCTCCGGCTGAGGGGCGGGTCGGCT